TTTATTCTCTTCAATGCCTCATGTAGCAATTACTCAAAATGTTGAGATAATGTGTTCTTTTGTTGTTTTGTTTTGTTTTTTGATTAGCGATATTCGCAATGAAAGCATTTCGTCCCATAGTATAGATGCTTTTTAACCTCAGTTTTGAGGCTGTACTACAATTTAGTTCTAATTTTTAGCCCTAACAAAGTCCGGGAATTGCGCTTTGGTCGCGTCTTTTGGTCGCAACTTATAAAAAACCAACCAATCACAGTCAAAAGTCACGAAAAAACTGTCACGCCTACGCCATCCATGTCACACCTAAGCATCTCTCACCACGTAAGGGTCTAATTTTGTTTAGTGTTGGCCTGCTTCGACGAGTTCTCTTCAGTTTTTCGTCATGAAAAACTCTGCCAACATTTGTCTTGTGCTACTTCTTACGTGTTTGGTTCCAGTTCGAGCAGAAGGTAAGTGAAATGACTATGAGTGAAAATGTGCTGACTTTCGACTTTGTATTCACCGCGATGGATGGTCTCTTTTAAAAATGAGAACTCGGCTTTTTTATAAGATAATACTATACTTCACTATTTAAAGTACATGGTCATTGAAAGTTTTCAGTATTTATCGAAGTTCCCTTTGCTAAATATGAAATCTTGAATAGAACCTCGACAAAAGCGACAATGCTCACCAGATATGCTGATATATGTTCCTTCGGTAATTCATTTGGCGTTGAATCGCAGAAATGATAAAAAGTTACATAAAACTAATTTGGAAACCACATTTAAGAACCCAAGTGGAAATTGAAATTGTAATGCGCCGTGCTTGGCTGCAATTTTCTAGCTCTGTATATATTTTTTTATTTTTAGTTTTAATTTTTAAGTGTTATGTTTACGTTCCAACTGTTTTGATGTCGAACACAATGTCCTTGGCTCCCAAACTGGACGAAGTCGCCAATGTYATCATAAATTCAAATTTGGACATTGCTTGTATTACTGAGACCTGGTTGAGCGATCACATTCACGACAACGTGATTAGCATTCCTGGTTATAACCTGGCTAGACGAGACAGAAAAGACGCACCACACGGAGGAGTTTGCACCTATATAAAGAAAGATTTGAACTATACCATTCTAGAAGATCTCTATGATGAGCAAATCGAAGCAATTTGGATYAAACTTCGTCCTTCACGACTCACCAGGGGTTTGCCCTGCATAATTGTGGCTACTGTTTACCATCCACAAACTGACAAAGGCGTTTCTGACTCTGAAATCCTACACTATCTTTATAATTCAATGTCTACTATTGAATCACGATTTCCGAACTGCGGAGTCTTGATCACCGGTGACTTTAACAGCCTCGACACTTCCAGGTTTAAAAATGCCTTTAAGCTGAAAACAGATCGTCAAATTCCCTACACGTGGAAACCAAACACTAGACCTCGTTATAAMAAACATTAAACATCTCTACGAGGAACCGATCCAGCGCCCAGCCTTTGGTTTGTCAGACCATTTATCAGTTGAACTCCAACCGTTATCTCGCAGCAAAAGTCTTCCAACCAAAMGAACAATTATCACGAGAGACAAACGGGAAAGTCAAAAGGTTGCCCTTAGCTCTTACCTGGAACAGGTTAACATCTCTGATATGGTAAATAGCAAAACGTCCTCTGAAGATAAAGTTCAAATTTTGGAAGAGATTATCACCTTTGGTGATATTACACCTGACACCTTTGGTGATATTACAGCTGACATTACACCTCTCCCAAAAACATCTCCTGTAACGGATGTCAACAAACACCTGAGACCCATCTCTTTGACACCAATCCTTTCTAAAGTCGGGGAGGAGTTCATTATTGATGGCTATATCAAACCTGCCATTTTAGCAAAAATCGACAAGAACCAATATGGAACTATCCCTAACTCTAACACCACGCTTGCCCTAATTAGCATGCTACACAGCTGGTACAAAGATACGGATGGTAATGGATCGACAGTGCGTGTAGTGCTATTCGACTTTAAGAAAGCATTCGATATCATCGATCACTCCATCCTCATGACCAAGCTTCAGGCTTACGACTTATCACCTTGGGTGCTGGATTGGATTGCTGGTTTCCTGACAGATAGGAAACAGCCGGTAAAGCTTTCCCATGACTGCTTTTCGGAGTGGGGTTCAGTCAAAGCTGGTGTACCACAAGGGACGAAATTGGGACCTTGGGTCTTTTTAGTCATGATCAATGACATTGATGTCAGCAGTGTCAACCTCTGGAAGTACGTAGATGATACTTCGATCGCTGAGACAGTGTACAATCAAGTGAAATCAAGTGAAATCGAAGTTGCTGTAGATGACCTGGTCGAGCAAGCCGAAGCAGATAAGTTTCAGTTGAATGAATCCAAGTGTAAAGAGTTACAAATACATTTCTCGAGACACGCAAACAATTTGTCAATCCTTAACATTTCATACATATCTGGTCGTAGGCTTGTCGTACGCGGGTGTCATGTACTTCTTGTGTGTGTCCATGGATGAGGGTGTCGTCCATGTGGCAGATGACTCCTTCAAGACCTTCCAACACTGAAGACATTGTGCGCTGGAAGATCTCTGGTGCGGAACTTATCCCGAAAGGGAGTCGGTTAAAGCAGAACCTCCTAAACGGTGTCACGGATGTGGTGAGCAGACGTGAATCTACTGCTAAAGGGATTTGCCAAAACCCCGAGTTGGCATCAAGCTTGGTGAAGAGTTTGCTGCCTTTAATCTTAGCTAGGTTTTCGTCGACACTAGCCATGGGATGGACCTCTCGTTTTACTGCTTTGTTGAGGTTTGTCAGATCCACGCACAGTCTCACATCACCGTTCTTTTTTGGCACAACAACCATACCGGACCACCAATCTGTAGGTTCGGTTACAGGTGAAATAACTTTGTCTTTGACCATGTTTTCTAGTTTCTCCTTTACTTTCGGTAGGAGAGGAT